CCCTCGGAACCCTCCTCGGATATTGCCTTCTGTCATTGCAATATTAAATGCGGCGTGGAAGGCAGGAAAGAAATCATCCTTAGTAATATGGTGTAACGAATACTCAAACTGGCTAACTAAACTTGGCTGGGTGTTCGCTGGTTGGTATGCTATGATAAGAAGAAGACTNTCGCTTAGCTAGCCCAAACGATCCCTTATTTGCTATAAGTCTATAGATGTGCTTGACCTGTCAGGACGCCGCCTGGTCTTCACTTATCACGTGTGCACGTGATTCGTGACAAAGAGCTAAAACTACTACTAATTTATCCTTCCTTATATAAGTACGCTACTTTTAAAGGAGGGATTTTATAATTAATATATTAAATAGGTAGTTATATATATAAAGCAGTAGTATATTATAGTAGTTATATATAGAGTAAGATAAGCAAGTTAAGTAGTATACTCGTTAAAATATAAAAAAGCTATATCGCTATTTTATATGGTATATTCGTAAAGAAGCTAGATTACTATATTCGAAGTAGTAAAAGCTTCTAATTCGATGTACGAGCTAAATAGAATTAGAACTCGATACAAGGCCTAACTCGTATCGAGCACAAAACTCTAATTTATATGGTGGACTCGGAGTGTACACTCCGAGCCAAATGGACCCTAAATGCGAACGGGGTACACATGACAGAGGCAAGGATCCAAGCCAATACCAGGGTGAATACCAGGAACCCAGCAATCCCATATGCGGCGTATCGATATCTCTTGGTCTTGAAAAGTCGAAGATAAAGGCACAGAATCGCCAACTTGGGAAGTGTTACTGCGGTTATGTAAAGGTATATCAATGCCATCTTCGATTTCGTGAAACTGACGACTTCTTGTGGCGTTACTGCTTCAATATGGTGGCCCAGTCCTCCAAGTTTGACATATGCTATTAATTGTTAGAGATGTATTCTTGTATCGACTGAGGGCAAAAAGGTGCGCTCACTAAAACAAACAGCGACCATACACAAGTTGATTAGCAAAGCACATATCATGAGATATAAATCGGGTCCTTGAACTACACTCATTCGGAGCTTCGAAGTAATATATAGCCCCGTAAATGTGATCTCTATAACACCAAGAATGATAGTAACCTCAGGTAATCTCCAGCTCTGACTTGCTGCCAAATACTCCGTAGTGAGCGTTGAGTTCATGACTGCTTGGGTGCAAATTTAAGCGATACCAAATGAAAGTCACTACCCAAGGTTTTGAAGGCACAAGAACAAGTATTTTGAGGGGGTAGTCACCGCGATAAGTATCTATATCGCTGTGCCTAAGTATCCAGGAACGGAGGATGGGGTACATAATCAAGAGACTGGCACTCTGGCCAGCTTCCTTCCTGCTCTCAACCAATTGAAACCGAAAGTTCTGCCACTGCGCCCCTTCTGTAGGATCGTTTTCGAGACGGGAGGCAGGCTTACTACAATATGGTAAGTCTGACGTGGAGTACATAACTAACCGAAAATCACATCTCCAAAAACGAACGTCATCTCTCCAAAAACGAACGTCATCTTCCGTTAAATATGGGGTTGAGCATTAAAACCTCATTATTTTTGTCCTTTGATGATGCCCAAGTTATTCTTCCACGGTTAACGAGCTGATTGCCCCCACCCACCTTGGATTTGAAGCAAAAAAAATACGTTACCACCTGTGCCTCGCGGGTGAACAGCCTGCAGATTGGGGGCTGGATCGGCTGAAAACCAGTTGAAACCCGGATGCTGATGTGAGTCCGATTACATGGAGCCTAGATATTCCATTATAAAGCTGCGGGAAAAAACAAAAGCGAGAAACAATCGATGAGGATCTGTATCTGGTCGGTAGTGAATTGTATTGCGTCTACACCTTCCACCAATATCTGCACACTGCCTCCAAATCCTCCCATGGCAATCGCCAGACTGTAGAAATCCTTCACAAATCCTCCTTTGCCTGTTCCTTGTCACTTTCCTCGCTATAATATCGTCCCTTCCTGTGGTATTCTGCTGAAAATATCTGCTCACATGAAATCCGCAACCCTTCCAGTTGGTTCCGTGGAATGAGTTGTCGACAAACTCGACCATGCGAAGCAGGATATCGTTTTTTCCGATGCTTGGGGATGCGAAGTGGTTGGAGTGGCGGCCAGCCCATTCCAGGCAGGTACTCTAAAGATGTCATGTAACCATCATGGTGGCTGAAAGATTCGTCCTTTGTTGCTCTCTGAGAGGAGAAGGCTCGGAAGCGGGGGTGAGAAGAAGTTTGGTTTTGCCAAGGATAGTATTGTTGATGCTGGTGCAAAGAGTCTTGCTCACCAAATAACGGAAGAACTTCATGAAGATTGGATGTTCCCGACGGTACGAATGTAGGTGCAGCCGGGTTAAGGGTAAGACGAGGGCTGTTTTTTATCCATATTCGTGCCCTCGCTTGACTATCTGGAAAGTCGACCATTTTCCATTCCAGCTGCCACATGAATGTTTCTGCGTTTCCTTCTGTACGGGAACCACTACCTCTAAAATTTCGAACATCTTCAAACCATTCAATGTTACCCTTCAACTGTGATTGAGTGTCCACGCCCGGAAAAGCAGTGCGCTCAGCTGGCAGATTTCCTGTTTCGGGCCAATGAGAAATGTGGAAGCCTCGACTCGATCGTAAAAACTCGCTCGACTGGGACTTTTCGACCGTAGTTGAGCTGTCCCAGTCAGAATAACTCTCATCCAACTCACTTTTCGTGTTGTCGCCGTCCGAAAAAGATGTTGCCGCTTCCAAACCCCAACCTAGGAATGTTTGAAAACCAGAAAGTCTTCCCATTTTGAATCTGAATTGCAAGCAAGGCGTCCCAAAATTTATCCTCCTCCTAGGTCGATGAAATTCCTTGGAGTAGTTATGAAGTGGCGACCGATTGACCGATCCAAAGTTGGGTCCAACAGGATCAAATTTGATAAGCTGTTGTCAACAACGACAGGTTACAAGGGACTGTGACTGGACCCAAGAAATAATGGTTTGAAATTGATAAGTGTAAACCAATGTTGATGTGAATGATTTGGACAGAAGTGCACATGAGTTCGAAAACATAGATGTCAAGCCAGGAAGTGGATTGCAAGGAAGGAACGTTGATGTTGAGAATTTGCCGAAGATGGAAGTCGCGAGACAGAACAAATTGCCTCTTCTGTTTTGCTCCTGTCTACGCTACACGGCTCTTGTCATTCCGATGAACAACAAGACTACTGAGATACATTTGTATGAAAGTTGCTGAAAAGTGAATACTAAAACGAAGTCGTTGATGTTGTTGTTGTTGTAGATATCCATCCGCGTCTCGAAATGGTCGAATTTAGTATCCAAAGTCTACTTAGAAATCATTTCATGGAAAAGCATAACTGGCTGGCCAGTTCCTAGAGAAGGTTTAATATGTAAGACTAACTGGATCAAACTTCCTCAAATGACCTCTCACATTTGTGTTTGTCATCTGAATTCCCATCCCAAAGTTGGTTTATTGACTCTTCTAGAAGACACAGTGCCCCAATCTTCGCACATATATGTTCTATGCCACTAGCGGACCTTAGATACACCTTTGAAATTGCTGGGTAGCGATGAAAAAATAAGTTGCACGTTAAGCAAATACCGTGTTCTCGATGTCGATGATCGAATATGACATGCGAGGTTGGACAAGAGTTCGACATAAGACTTGCAAGTCATTTATCCACCATAGTATCTCCTAGAAGCTGAAAAGAAGAGAAGAGAAGCGACCTTGACAACCCGAAACACTAGGTCACTAAGTCCTCCATAAGAAAACACTTTATAATACTTGGCATTATTTCTCCCAACTCCAGTAACAAAAAGAGAGTACTGAAAGATTGTAGGGTGAAATCAATTCTTTTTGTTACAATCTATCCGTAAGATAAAAATTGAGCTTCCTAGAATCTATAATGTCCTGGTATTTTTAATTGAATAATAGTATACACTACGTAGAAGTTGCTTTACAAATGAGTGGCATCTGGCAAAAACATGGTCAACCTCTGGTATTCCAAGTTATTTGATATTCACCATATGCTTAACTATGTGTATATCAAGATTTTTACTTCAGATTTTTTAAACGATGGTGTTTGGAAGAGAACATTCGGATGAAGTTATGTATTTTCTCTACATTGACATGCCCTTCTCATAATTGATCTTAAGAGATTGAGAAGAACAAAAATATTAAATAACAAAGATTGCTCATATAAAATGAGCTTCTATCGCAAGACCAGGAGACCATTGTCGCAGGGAGGAGGAATCTCGACCCTAAATCTCAGAGATTATAAAAGGGTTATAAGAGCAGCTAAAGTAACTGATGCCAGCGGATTGATTGGTAGTGTGTGTAAGGGTACAAACAAAGGCTGATTTGCAAGAACATCACATTGGTACCTAAATTGGAAACATCACAACGGAACAATATAGGTCACAAAAACTTAGCGAAAAGATTCCCTCGAATACTAAGCATTATGAACCGGCTGTGAGGCACAAGTTCCAAAATTATATACATTATCCACCTGATTCCTACTCAACCCCGATTTCACAAATCAACATATCCCTTCAACATCCTCAGTACATCGCTGATTTTCAGAAACTGCCTATCGAAGGTGTTTACAAGAGAGCGGCGATGATACCAACAGCCATCAAAAGACCAGTGGCCTTCTGGGTGGCGGCTCCTCCGGTGAAAGGGATTTCAGAGGTGGCGTTGGTGAACCCTCCGATGAATCCTCCGGCAGATGGAGCAGCAGTACCGTAGATTGGGCATGCTGGGCTACCTGGTCCACCGCAAGTAGCGGCCTTGGATGGGTAAGATGGGGTTCCAGTGGCAATTGGGCATTTTGGGCTTCCTGGGCCTCCGCATCCAGCTGGGGCAGATTGAACGCCAACAGATGCTGGACCAGCTGGGACAGGAGAAGGAAGGTGGCCAGCAGTGACGGTGATGTATGAGGTGATGGCTGGGCCACAGTTACCCATTTCACCTGGGTTAGATGGGGTTCCGCTGTTATTCTCCTCGGTGTTTTCAGCGTGTGGGTGGTCACCCTCATCCTCGACATCGTCCTCATCATCTCCATCCTCAGATCCTGGACCAGATGGGGTTCCACTGTTTCCGTTGCCAGGGGCTGGGCAGCCTGGACCGCTGCAAGCTGGACCAGTTGGAACTGGCCCGACGGAGGTCGAAGTGACAACAGCTGAGGTAACCATTCCAACTGGGCAGTTGGTAACGCTTGGGGGACAGCTGGTGATGGTGTAGACCTTGGTATTGTAGAAGGTCTGGGTGACTGGACCAGCCGCTGGGGTGGTGGATGGTGCTGGTACGAAAGTAGCAGACACTGGGCAGATAGTGGTGGTAGTGACTAGAATGTTGATTAGTATTCGGTCATCTCGGATCTAGGTACGTCGAACTTACAGATTTCACTGGTGACTCTGCCAACTGGGCAGTTGGTCACGGTTGGAGCACAGCTAGTGACCGTGGCGACCTTAGTAAGGAGGATCGTAGAAGTGACCATGGTGTCATTGCTAGCTGCCGAGACGACAGCGACGACAGAGAGGGCCGATACTAATGAGGCCTTCATTTTGAATTTGTAAAAGGGGTTATTTTTTGGGTTGAGAGAAAACGGATGAGATAATGAAGAATAACTGGAAAATGTTTTGTAAAGAGTGTAATTGAATCTGAGATTCCAAATGAGTGACTAGGCAATTGATGCTTGATAGAGGGATAGGGAGGAGAAAGGAAGAGGTAGAGCAGATGGACATCCAACAGTCTATATACCCACCGTTGATGAGTTAGCAACAAGCCGTGAGCAACTAAAATAGTGAATCCATGCTCATTCTCTCCTGTGAGGCGACAGTTCCAGCGACCTCAAGGTTCCATGCTAGCCGAAGTCAATGTCATGGGCTGTCAGTGTCATTGTTGGCTAGGTAAAGGAAATTAGTGAGGTCGTATCTGGTTTAGTCTCCCGCAATAGGGGATGGTGGCTGGCTCACTTGAGTTTGATACAGCCCGGTTGTGGCTCGTGCTGTGTGAGCTTTTGGAAATAAACATGGAATGTTCGATTGCTTCCAACTCCGTAAATTTCTGGTTGGTTGGTAGGCATGATGTAGTTTGTGGGGAAGTTGAATTAATTTTCGTTTTCGGATCTCGCACTGTAAAAGTAAGGCTACTGTACAGTAAAAGTGGCTGTACGAAGTAAATACGAAGTAATAATGGATGCCGCTTCCGACGGTCCAACTTTCTAGGGAGGAAATTCCAGGTATTTAGAAGCATTTCAGAAGACTTGCAACAATTTGGAATCTGTGACCAGTTTTTTGAGAACAATATTACTTTGTGGAAAGGAAACTCAACTCCCCCAGCTTCCTTACGAAAATCCCAAGTGGTAAAATTTTTCAAATAGTTGGAATAAGAATCATTTACTACCGCTTTGGCTGTCAGCAAGAAGATTACAATACCCCTGAAGCTAAACTAGGTGGCAGTGTCGATCCCGTTCGCCGGTTCATGCCGTCACATCCGCCAAAATAAGCATATCCCCCCATAATTTCCTTTAAACGATAACATCTAATTGGTTCGTTTATTCCCCTAATGGGATTTCCCTTATTTTGTTTGGTACCGGACCGTGCCATACATCCGGTTATCCACACGCCTTGTCTGAACCACTCCTTTTGGATGCATAAAAATGTCCTCAAGTGTTGTGTTAGTATAGGAAAAAATAAGAATAAAGAAGGCACTCCGTTCCGTTCGTTCGAATGCCTTCTTGTAATTTCTCAGTGTGCTGATCATTCTTTCACTGGACTTTTTGTATCGGCGTACTACGTACTAATCCGAGGTTTGATTGTCCACACCATTCGATCTTTCAATATTCTGATTCCCTTCGTATTGCTGTGGGTCCGAAAGAAACGCCCTTGTACTACTGCGGCCAGCCAAGAAGAGCCTAACCTGTAGCCAGCAGAGTTAGGGTGGTTCGGCGAAATCTAGGCTCGAGAACAGTGCCAAAGTTGGTTGGTTTCAAAGTCATACACAGGCGTGGCTGCGTCACTACTTCATGAAATCAAATTTATGAACGGTGTATGTAAGCTATGTACTCCGTACCTAATGGACTTGGAACTTTTTGCTCTCCGATAAGTGAGAATTTACCTCGAAGTATGATTAAAACTAGAGCAGACCGCTGAGTATGCTTCGTGGGGCCTAATTTTCCGGCGATAATTGGAATACTTAGAAGGTAGGTAGAGTATATTTAAGGGTTAGAGTTATTATTACGGTACGAGTATCTCGAGGCTATCTTAAAAGGTTCTTTACGCACGGATTTAATAAAGGAGAGAATAAAACTAAACCAAAATTTTAAGCTTAGTTAGTAACTAACTATATCTAATTAGTAGTACTTATAAGATATTATTCCAATCTTCTGAAAACAAGGAGGGGGACAAAGGGGGAGAATCAGGTAATACATTATTAGCAGAGGAAGAAGTGGCGATTCGGTTATAAAATGATACTCTATCAATTAGTCCATAGTTACTACTTAATAGTGTTATTGGTAGGTTTTGTTACTTCGCGGGTATGGACATAGGTGCTATATCAGATACTAGTACTCAGAAAATTCTCCAAATCCGACTTTCTAGAAGCATTACAAAGTATAGATTAACCAGTCAATTCAAGATTCAAATGTTGCTTGGAGACAATCAAGGTAAACGTAAGCGAAAGGGCAAGAAGTTCCCGAGTTCGGTAGCAAAAAAGTCCTTGCTTAGCAGGTAGGTTATCAAGTGTTAAGCGAATAGACTTATCTCGTCAGTTGCTTGGGTTTGAATGAGTAGGAGAAACTCTAGAGTACCAACTCAAGCCTTACTCTTATCAGATACAAATAACAGGTTTTATTTCTCTCCTACGAACACAAACGCCACTCTTTTTCTCAACGGAAATGCCCCATGTTTACTTTCTGACATATGAGTACAGAACTGATAACACAGGTAAAACAATGAGTAGCACACTAGTGGCATTGGGAATGGATGACTATTGAAGTTACGATACACAGAGAGCTATCAATGGCGATTTTTTTTATCCACTACAAGCCAGCTTAATCATTTCGCGTATACGTGTAGCAAAGTACGCAAGTGTGCCCTACTCTCAGCACCCAAGGTTAACAAAGTTTGGCTTCAGGCTTGCCAAACGCACTATTTCATCAGAATTCCTCCATCTTACCTTCCTCTGAATAACGAGACTGCTTCTACATGAAGGCAGAATTCATCTGGTGCTACTATTGCGTGGTGGCTAACCATAACTAATACAACAGAACTTCACACAATCCAAATTACAACGATAAATGACCTCAGTAAGATTCAACAACAAGAACCAAATCACAATATTCAACAAATCCTCCGTCTGACTTGAAGTCCAAGATATCTCCGTAGAATTCTGTCCCCTCACCCCTCCAAAATCTGGCTCCTCTGCCTTCCCCGCACCCTCTCTTGCATCCAAGTCGGTAATCCCCTCAAAATACTTGCAATAGCAAGTTGCCTCGGCATAACAATCTGACCCCCGTATCCACTCGCAACCTGTGCGACAATCTTATCGGCAACATCTTGAGCATTGAGAATGACCTTTGGGAAGTCTTTGGATAGTTTTTCGAGGGGTGCGACGAGGGGGGTGCGAACCCAGAAAGGATGGATGATGCTACATTCTCTTGAGTATAGTTAATGCGAAGAAGAAAGGAGGAGAAAGTACCTAGTTCGGACTAATCGAGCATTATATCTGTGATCTAATTCCTGTCTCAAACCCTCGTGAAAAGCCAGCACGGCGACTTTGCTACATGAATAATCCACATTCTGGGCGATAGTTACGAAACTCGCCATACTTGCAATTGTCACGATATGACCTGCTTGCGTCAACATCTAGAATATATATCCAAACAGATCTGAAATTCGGGAGGCGAGAGAGGATGACATACCAGCTTTTCGTTTTATCATAGCAGGTAGAAACTCTCTCACGGTCCAGAAGTGCGATACGAGATTAACATCAATCGTCTTCCTAATCATCTCTTCATTCTCTCCCAAAATTGTGGTTCCAAAGCCGATGCCTGCATTATTGATAAGAACAGTAGGTTCACCAATTTCCTTCCTGATTTTGGCTGCTGCCTCTTTGACATCTTCTAGAGAGCTGACATCGGCCTTGAAAAAAGAAAGATTTGGACCTGCGTTCATTAACCTGACGAACAGGAAGTAAGATAGGGAACTCTGAAGAACGAACCAGCCTTAATATCCTCCGATTCAGTCAAATCCAAGATTATAACCTTACACCCTTTCTCCAAAAATCCCTTGACAACCAACTTCCCAATCCCACCTGAACCACCCGTCACAACAACAATCTAGAAAGAGTAAAAAGTTAATTTTTCTATACTATACATAAACGGTATCGGGAGCTACCTCGTTCTCGGCGTTCCAAACTGCACGTTTCCATCCATTAACAGCTTTATGCGACAGAATCCCATTAACATGGTACAAAACCGTCGAACCCCAAAGCCAGTTCAGGGTCTTGAGAGAAAAGAGCGAAGGAGCGATGCGGGGAAGGGAAGGAAGGGCGAGCGCAAATAGTGCGGACTTCCAGATGATGGAGGAGAGATGGTGATGTATTGGTGCGGTCACAGACCGATGGGGTTGGGGCGTCATCTAATTTCTTTTTGAATCTCCTCTTTCAACTTTCTCCGCGCACCTTGAAAAAATAAAATATAATAAAATTGGAAAGAAATGACTTCGTGATGCTAACATGTTGACGACGCCGACGAGTGGGCGGGGTAGGTACATAACTACGGCGGAGGCGATGAAACGCTACTGGTTTCTCGCAAGACTAACGAAGAATAGGTCAGCTGGGCGAGTTGAGGTATAACAGCTTTGGTGCTATACCAAAATGGCAATAACAGAGCCATTTCGTTTTGACGATAGTGTTTGGTCCTTCATCCGCAGCTACAAGTACTGTAGTAAAGTTACTTTGCCCCACGCGGGGGAGATGATCTACAAGATCACCACTGCCGCTCAAGCCTCTTTCAACGTCGTTTTTCTGTTCTATAAAATCGGCCTCAGCCAATATCCAATCTTGTGGTACTCGACTATTTAGAATCGTCTGGAGTTATTCGATAGAAAAAACTCGTTGTAGAAATTTAGTTGGAGCCGAATGTACCAACAATACTTTTAGTGCTTAGGAATATCTTTATAGAATCAGATAAACATTTCCATAATTATAAGTATAAAGCCCTACTTTCATACCCAAAAACCACGGAATTCCACTCAGGATAACTTATATCCAACAAATCATCTGAAAGTTAAGTACCCACCTAGCTCCAAGAATAAAAACAAAACCACCTATTTATCCATACATCCACCGATACTATATTACAGACCTGGGCGTCGATATATCGATGTCGTATCGGGGGGGTACTCGATATATAATATATCGGAAATATATTAACAATACAATATTGCTAAGAACCTAATATCCGATAACATATCGATTATCGGTATACGTAACGTAGATTATCTATAAATCCGCCGCTGGACTAATTAGCTTACTATATTCTATAAGGCTCTTCAAGCTCCTTAGTGTCACGAATCATGTGCACGCACGTGATGATTGAAGACCAGGCGGCGCCCTGACAGGTTAAGCACTATCATAGCTCTTATAGCAAATAGGGATCGACTAGGCTAGCTAGACGATCCAAGGATTTCCTTTAGTTACTGTCACGTGATTAATGGGCATCAGAGGTGGTCGGACTGACGACCTCTGAGGAATCGGAATCGATCAGGGCGATGAGCACTGATCCGCGAGAACGAAGGTTCTATATAAGACTGGCACGTCTGCCATTAGATAGGAGCTTCGTGCTCAACTTAGTTATCAATCTTATCATATTAGTTTGACATCTTTGATACAAGTAACGAGTTC